ATTTGATGAAGCTGTTGTTCTTGCACTCCTTGACCGTGTTGTCCACCTTATACAGGAGAAAAAAAAAGATGCAGGAATAAGATGGAATGAGCACTTTCACTACTCACACTCATTGCCATCAAAGTGGCCCACAGAAAGATCTTTTTTGGTGGAGCTTTGCCTTTGTCCCGGCAAATCTGGACCACCTTCTCAAGGTCCCGACACAAACACTCGATAACCATGGAAGCGTCTCCAGCTTGACGGCAATCAATGCAATGGAGAGTCATGAGCACATTGTGGCACCATACGCCTTCGATTTTCATTTTTGGTCTGTCATACTTTGCCATTGCTTTTGTTGTGACATGCCCCCTGCATCTTGGTATGCACCATTTGGCCTGATCCATGCCATCCTCAGATGCTCTATTTTGGGGCCGAACGCTCAAGAATGACTCAACAAAGGGTGTTGAAGCTCCTTGTGGCCAAGGATCGGCATGGATAAAAAGACAGGCATCATCATCGGTCAATGGTGAGCTCTCCTTTGGGAATCAAAGGCAACACACTTGTGCAACAAAAAACAAACAAAGGAGCTCTCCTGAAACCAACTTTCCAAATGACGATCAGCTGCTACAGCTTCGATGTGGGCTTTGTATTGTTTGGCAACTTCGAACTTGTCCAGCACATCCTGAGCTATCACTCTTTAAGGTCTGAAGAAAGTCCTGATAACAAGCCATAACAAGCCTAATGCCAAGCTTCCCTGCAGTCATGGAATGCACTTTTGTATGCTGTGCAGTCGTCGCAGGCTGGAAAGTTGCTGGGGTTCGAGAATCTGAGAACTGATGCCCATTTGGATTTGTATCTTCGCGCAAAGTGGCTGTACCTCATCCCAACCAGGCATGCGAAAAGATACTGTGGCACATGAAGAACACAAAACCTCAGTGCGAACCGGGTGCGACACCTTGAAGGAGCATTGAGAATGCAACATTGCCACATTGCCTGGTGGCAAGTGCCGGACAGGGAGCATGGATGGATCCTGGCCCATGTTCGTATCTGTGAACCTTAACTGAACAGTGAACATTTGGTTATGCAAGGAGGAACGTTAAACAAACAAAGAAAACAAATGAGGTCTTGGCTGCGTCCACAGCATTTTGTGGCCGAGCACATGCAACTTCAAATCCAAATCGGATTCAATGCTTTCTGCAGGGATGGTATCAGCATCATCGTCGGGGCCAGAATCTTCTGACACTCCTTGATGCATGCTGGAGAAAGCTACCTTTGTGTGTCCTGCCATGCACTAATGCCAACAAAGCATCCATCATCCTCCTCATGACCGCGGCATCCATATTGCACAATCACGTTGGAGACAGGTCGTTTCTGCATAGATTCTCGAAGACGAGCAGCTCTTTGAAACCTTAGCAGGACTACAAGTTGAATCGATCGCGAACAGCAGTTTTTGGACTCAGGCTGATTGAAGCAAGGGGCTTTGTTGGCAGCATACCACCCTGATCTATGTAAACTTTCAAGAAGAACCAATCCAGCTTCATGGAAAGAAGAGGAGCCCGCTTCTTTACCTGTATGGGCTGAACTCATGACCCAAACAGAGGTGATTGCAAAGCACTCTCTATACCTCTCTATCATGCAGCTGAATTGCTGCTCCAAAGCATCTGTACCGTTTGTCCATGTGCCCACTCTGACAGCTTTTGAATCGTTGGGGCCTCACCCCCATCAAGGCTGCCAGACAATGCCGTGAGATCTTATTGCCCAGAAGCTCCCACTGGCGATTTCCCGGTGCAAGGCCAGCCATGCAGAACGAGATCTAAGCCGGTCAACTTGTGTTCAAAAGACTGCCCAAAAGACTAAACATGAAGTCATGAATTGCCAAACAAATGAGCCTCAAACAAACTGATCTTGGCTGGGTTTCTCCAAAGTCCAAAACCCATCGAGGAACTCATAGACTGATTCAGAATCTTGTCTCTTGAAGCAGCCCCTCTTGCAAATGCACGGCTGGAAGAGTATCTGATTGATTCGCGACCGATCTCTTCCATTGTCAGAGTGCCTTAAGTCCATGACTTGTCCATCTACAAAAGATCTTCAAGATACTCAGTTGTTGATGCTACTATGATGTGGAAAACCTTTCTTCAAACATGACAAGATACCTCATTCTCTCCACCGGATTGGCGCATAGTTTTCTTTTTGTGCTGTTGTAATTTGGCCGAAGTCTGGCTTCTGGTCGCCCTGCTTTGAAACTTGCAGCTATCATCTGGCTTCCCTTAAACTCTCGAAGTTTCTGTATCGAAAACGATATCACCTCGGTCTTCACCTTGGTTTGAACCTGATTGGAGGTTGCACCATCATCTCTTAAAGATGCCAAGAACCTCCTTCTCTCAGCAGAACCATGGCTGGAGAGTTCCATAGCTTCTTCTTGAAGCCAAAAAGCTCCAGGAGATCAAAGGATCAAATAAAACGAAAAAGGGATCGATTATAACGAAATCGACTTATAAGTTTTTCTCCTGAGATCCAGGGTAACATCCAAACATCGTCCCTGTATAGGAGCATCATGGGAGAAAACACGAAAGTCAGAAACACAACACATACCATGACCTTAAATTCTTAGATCAATTCCTTGAAACAAAACCAACGAATCTGCCACACTCTCCGGTCCGACCCAGCTGTCGTTTCTTTTCTTCTCCGGTCCGACCGGCAAGCCTCCTGCAGGTCCTTCAACTCGCAAATCACCTGTCGACGGCATCGACGGCATCGATGTAGGACGCTGGGACGCTGGCATCGATGTTCGCGCGCGCCGAGGTCAGGCGTCGTTCTTCTTCGGACCAAGGGGGATCCCACGGAGTTTGTACAAAACCCGGAAGAGGTCGATGAAGCAAAATGGGACAGGAACGGAACAAGAATCAAGCACGTACGACTGTACCCATGCTCCGCGGAAACGAAGGGGTCGACTCCAGGTATGTCCCTATATAGATCCACATACCTATCCTGAGGTAAGGTGAGGAAGGGGACTCTTGATGTAGGCGCCACAAATCGGGCGCAGTCATACCGAACCTGAGGTACGGAAGGTGGCAATGGATCCAGTCTGAATACATTGATTCCTCAAACCACCCCTGGCTGTTTCTCAGTCAATATGCCAGTCAGTATGTGGATCCGGGTGTGACTTTTGAACAAAATGAACCAATTGGGTCGTTCCATCTGCCGATCGCCGCCCCGCTTCAGTCTCCGAATGATCGCGACCCCAGCGAGCGATGTTGAATACAATAATGCGAAAGGGGTTGGTGATGGCAAAGGCACTGGAAATGGCCCAACAGCAGGGTGACACCTGAAATTGATTTGCCATTTCAAAAAATTGGAGATTGATTCTACATGCTTCTGCATCTTCTGCAACTCACAATCTATAATGCAAAAGTGGCTGGCAAACCAGCCAGCCATAACAGTGCTTCTCGGTCAACAACTTTCTCTCATGGTATGACGATGTACCACGAGATCTGTTTGCTCCCACGCCCTGCCGACCTAATGATGCCCAAACACCCTGAATTCAAGAGCCATGGAGCCAAAAAAGATGGGCAGGGCTTCACAAATCCTTCAAAACTACTCCGAACATCGGGAACTGCATCAATGCTTCAGCACCCCTGATTTCCCCGTTTTGCTCCCGTCGGCTCCGCGAAGCTCGCCTTGCCCATGGTGTGGACCATGACCATCTGTCTAAAGGCCGTGCAGTCCTGGAGGACACAGTCGGACGCCCAGAGCCGCCGGACGGTGTCAGAGTTGCGCTGGGTTACCCAGCGCTGGAACCCAGTCGTGGTTTTTCCGTGCCTCAGCGGTTCCAGCTCAAGCCGTGACCAGCCCAAAAGCGGTGAAGCCGTGGAAAATCAGTCACTTAGACCGTCCAAGATTCAAGGTCCACACGGTGTCGTGCGTCCACATCAGGCCATGAACAAGCCGTTGAACCGAGTGTCGAGTGACAAAGCGAGAGGGAAGTCGGTGGACTGGTCGAGAAGGCGGTCCAGGAGGGTGATCCGTGTGAAGCCTTTGCACAAACAAAGAAACATGTCAAGTGCTGGAGATAAAGAAAAACACAACACCAGGACCAGGACCTGAGCCGTTCATGACCGCCAAATGGAGTCTATGTCTGTCTGTCTAAGTGGCCAGGTGTTTTTTCGTGAGAGTCCAGGTCCTGGCAGTACTTTCTTTGTTTGGCAGGAGCTAGACCCTTCAAAGTCTAACACCGTCATCATGGAGGGGATTGCACATCATGTGCCTTCTTGCATCATGACGTCCCGCTGCGCCCCCCAAAAGTCTCTTACAAACATGCCCAGGAGGGGATTGACTCAGGCAAACACAACTGTACAAGTGTAGATGAAAAGCATCCTTGAAGACTTCCTTGAAACTTTTTGAGACATCTGCCCCTCCCAGACTCCCTTCTGGATCCTTCTCGCTGGAGCTGTCCATGTGCTTCATCCCTCGAGCCTGGCAATGGCTTCAGTCCCTACATGTCCCTACTGTTCTTCGTCCACATGCGATTTCCAAACTCACCTCCAAACTCACTGCTTCAAAGTCACTGAATATCATAGCTGGTTGCAAATCACAACATGGTGACTCGTAAGCTCCGCTCTCAAAGTGGCTTGGTGCAGCAAACCATTGATGGTGGCCTAGCGTTACAGCGTTGCGGTTTGGGTGCTAAACCACGACTATCAGTGACAATCAGTACCATTCAGGACACTCCAAACATGAAGAGAGTCGACTTTCGGCCATGTATATATTGTATTATGTAGACTCTTGATTAATAACCACCCTCATTTGAAGTGCAAAATCATCTTCATATGGGGGCTTATTAATCAAGAGTCTACATTATATATATATATATGATATATGCCATCCATACGTCGTGTTTTTGAAGAGGTCGACGACTATAGGTGCTGTAAGTGCCTTAGGGAATTTGACTCCTTGTAATTTACCTCCGCGAAAGAAGAGTGTCGACTCACCGTTCTTCCCAGCTCGAGGTCTTTCGTCCAAGGTTACCCAGTTTCCTCGTCAAGCATTGGGCAAACACACATTCTGCATGAATAATAGAGGGCAGAGTTTGATATAAGATATTCGTTCACATAATCACTGAAGCTGATCCGTTCCACCTGATCAAGACACAAAGTATAGTTCGACTGCAGAAACCATGTCTCAGGTCGTTCATGCGACGCAGTGTGCAGCGAACTGCAGCAGTGATCAACAGCAATGGCCAAGAACTGTCGGGTGTTTCGAACATCTGCTGAATCGCTGAACTGAATTACTTCGCATATAGACTTACACTCCCGAAAACTCACATGGACCCTCAGTCCTGCTCCAGTTCCTTTGGAAGATGGTTTTCCTCTACCTAACCAAGTGGGTTTTGGGGTTCCATTGTGGTTCTCTTCAGGACAGCGACGACGTTCCGAAGACCGGACCAATTCCGGAGCGGGTTGATGACCGCCCCATGGGACGGGTCGTCGGGTTGGTCGTGAGGTCGCCTGCCAGAAGTCCACGGTCTTCTGCCGCAGGATGGAATGGCAAGCGATGCAAATGAAGCTCATGCCTGGCAGTGTTCGGTGCGACACGTTCCAAGACGTGTCTTCCGTGTCTGAAACGAAGGAACGCGGCGGAAAGGAAGACGACACGCCTATATATTGGTGTTCTGGCCCTTTAAAGACGTGGCTGGATCAAGCACCAAGCACGAGGGTCATATATGCAACATAAGCAATAGTGTCATTAAACAATAAAGGGTTGTATTTAACAAAGACTTCTCAATGGATGATAATCTGTTCAGTGATGTGATTCTTTTGGCATCCAAAACAATAGAAGGCATCCTTTTTGCTTTCGTGTCATCGAAGCAGTATCCTGCAAAATGTGTGGAAGTAATCATCCAGCTAAGTTTCCTCTACCACTAATATATAATATATATCTATGTATACAACAACAAGGAAATCATTTGACAAATCGTCAGCTCAATTGCTTCCCATGGATCTGGCTTCACTGGGAGAGGCTGCTTGCCAATGGTTGAAGCCGAAGCATTAACACGAACTCCAAAACCGAACATGCCATGTATATGTAATCGTTACCTACATTGACCCCTGAAACCACCCCAATGTATAGGTATATATTCCATACACCGAACATGCAAACCCTACCCAACCCTCGATAAAAACCCTCATGCATCAGGTTACAACACCGTTGAGTCGGCACAGCCGAACGAGAAGGCCTCCTGCAGTGCCAACAGGCAACGTCTCAGGCTGAGGCGGCTGATACCCTACGTCTGCCGCTGTGGATCCACCAATCCACCCTCTGAGTCTCAGAGCGTGATGTGTGGGTCGTATAGATCCAATCATCTTAAGAGGATCCGGGGCGGTTCACCGCGAGGTCCTGCCCCTAAGTCATCCCAAACAGTTTCAGCTGTTCTTTTTTCCTCAGCTCGACTGAGCCTCCCATTTGCCTCAAAAGAACAGAAGACGGCTATAACGGTGGCCGTGGCGCCTGTGATGAAGTCCCACATCACACGGCCGCTCTGAGTCCTCAGTGGAGAGCTGCGCCAGGCCAGGCCGATCTTTGAGCAAACCAAAGTGTTTAACAACCATGTCGGATGACGCGACAGATTCACCAAAGCAACAAAAAAACGCACCAAAAGGGCTTAAGAAAGAGCTTGAGCTATCCATGATCACACCGTTTTCCATGGCGATGCTCCATGGTAATACTCCATTGGGGAGGGGAGATCCAACAGTACACCATGACACAGGACCTAGAAGCGTCCGTTGACCAGGCGGATCCGAGGCCGTCGGTGGAACCAAGGGAAAAGGAGCTCCGAAGGATTTTTCAATGCCATCCTTTCTGGGTATCCTGGCTGGACATACCTCCCTATAAAAAGGTGGCCACAAAAAACCACTTGAAGCCCTGGCAGATGGCCCATGTGGTCAGGTCACTCTTCCGGAAGCCCCTGGGCCGGTGGAACACCGGTGGACACCCGCGGGAACCGCGCTTCGAACTGCCGGTCCCCCCGCTGGAGCTCGGAGGCCATGGAATCGATATAGCCCACCTGGAAGCCGCGTCCCGCCGGTGAGGCTCGGACCTTCAACAGATCGTCCAAAAGCGGTATTGCGATGATACATCGGGGTTCTAGAGAGAGATGTATGATGCATGGTTTCTTTGAGCAAGAAAGTATAAATACAATATTTACATCTTCACCTAGATCCCAAAATATAAAAAATATACCTACAGTATATGTATATAGTGGAATCGTTGGGATAGACTTACACTCTTAGTGTGGACTGACTGTGTGTTTGTTTGTTGGACGGTTCCGCAAACAGCGGTAGCTCTACACTTGTCGGTGAGCTTGTGAGAAGAGCCCACGAGCAATCCTCCAAGTTGTTCAGAACGTGTGATGACATGTGTTGCCATCTCCAAATGATCTCGACAACAGGCAATACGCATTCCGTACGCTATGAGACTCTTGGAATCTGAGGCAAACATGAGTCTACAACGAAGCTGAGCGGCGTCTACAACAGGCAGTATGCTCGTGGTACAGCCGAACTGTTCAGCCGATATGGAACTCCTGGTACAGCCGAACTGTTCGAAGAACCCTGGCTGAACGTACCCACATGACGCTGCGGTTTCGGTTGGCTTTGTCACCGAGGAGCAGTGGTGGTTCCCAGGATCTCTCCCTGCGTACCTGCAGGTTTTGCTCGGAATCTGTGAAGCTTGGAAGTCATAGTTTGGCCAAAAAAAACATGCCTTTTCAATCCTTTTCATGTTTCATCATTTTGTCATGCATGTTCAAATTCAAGGTCACATGTATGTTTGGACCTATATAAATATATTATACAATCCCTTTATACATATATACACCACATATAATATATAACTTATATAACTAAGTATGTTGAATTTTGTTGGACGGACAACAACTCACCCATGAAACACTCGTGTAAGCTCCAAGGAAAACCAACTGGGTGCACTGGGACTCCACCCACTTCAGCACTTGGGCTGTGCAAACTTGCGCTCAGCCACTGGGTGGTCCGAGCGGGCTTAGGAGGCCAGAAAAGGCCGAAGCGGCATCTCAGACTAACGTGTTTAGTGTGTTGCCTCCAGGTCCGGAAGTTAGGGCTACTGCAGGTAACATGCCCGACTTGCCTTGAATGACCCCACTTCTTCGAAGTCCTTGATCTTAAGATGCATATTTGGGTCTACTGGGTCCAATCAGCCAACTTCGGCGTCGTTTGCCTCACAATGGCTGCTGTCATCCGCACAAAGCCGCTAGGGAAACCCCGCCTGTTGAGGAGGGCGCCTGGAGGTTCAAGTTGCTGGAACCTCTGGCGGTGGGTACACGGTCTGTCTAAAAGAATCGAAGGGCGAAAGCACCACAACCCGAGAGTCTGTCTAAAGTTCTCCAGATCAGGTCTTTTTGGCCACTTGTTCTTTTCCTCTATATAGATTACAGGGAATTGCCTCCAAACTAACATGGGAACCCACTTCTGAAGATATATAAATCTTATATCAATGCTAATTCGTTAGCTTGGGAGGTGATTGACTAGGCTCCAACACGATCTTCCAACAACACTGACTCTGCCCAACGAAGAAGTCTCCATAATATGGATCAAATTGCTCGGCCGTCCCTGGCTGCAGAGTGCACGTGCCTTCCACATGTCGGGCTTTCACACTGAGCTCCTTCACCAGGGCTCCACCTGGCGGTGCTTGGGACGTCGAATGGCGAAAAGCATCGGTTCAACAGAGGGCGAGCCGATCCCTACCTCACTCACCGCTTCTTTTTTCCACGTCTTTTAGTACTGGTTGGGTGATCATTTGGGGGGTCAGCTTTTTAGACCCTCCTGCAGACGATCGAGAAGAAGACCCCGTGGTTCAGAGCACTTTCCTCTACAACCCAGGTGCTTTTGGGGGGCCGTGTGGTCCGAACAGCAGGAGGCTATAGCAGGCGGCTGAGTTCCCCCCGTGAATCAGGCGTTTTCCTCGCTGACGCCGCTGTCGCCTGTGAACTTCCCCTCCTGCGTGACGTGCAAGACCTCCATCTCTTCGTCGAAGAGCTTGGCCTGTGACAACCCCAGCATTTTGGGTGTGAGGATCTTGCTGGGGGAGGTCAGGGGGTCTGCAAGGAGCCGGAGTGATAGGTATTGACAAATAGTTGGTGTTGCTGTTGGAGATTCGAGGTAGAGCAAGACGCCCTTTCTCGCTCCTGACGCATCAGTGACGCTCCTGACCACAACGGATTTCGTGAACATAAGCATCTTTTCAGCTTGACATGGCCAATTGCTGGGTCCGTATGGGGGCAAAAATGCGTGAAAAACATTCCAGACGGGATGAGAACGTGGAGACGTGTAGAAACGAGATGGCCCGGCGCTAAGAGAAGCCCTGCATGCATATTTTCCACCTACTGTATCTTGTTTAATTCGAAGTTTCATGAAGGACTCAAAACCTCCAAACACACACACGCACCAATTTTATCCAATTTTCATGAGACCAGATTGTTCCACTGTCCTGTTGATTCATGCTGCGATGATAAGATACATACATCCGCATGAAACCATTGAAGCATCCGAACACACACACACAGCCCGTGTGCCGCATGCGCCCATTTCAGCGGTCTCATCGAAGCAGTCCGCTGCTTATCGGGCCGGTTTCCGCGGCTCCTGTACAATCTCGGACCGTTGTCCCGAAGAGAAGCGGCTGACACGTAAGTAGGCCGATGACGGCTGCCGCATATAGTGTGGCAAGTGGGTTTCCAGGGACGGTTTGGAAAGCAAGGATCCACTTACGGACTGATAGAGATAGAGATTGAGAATTGAACCTCCTTGCTTAACCATATTATACAGAGATTGGCAATTGAACCCTTGGCAATTGAACCCGCTCCCAATACTGAGGTGAACTTTCCCCACATGAACCCTCTATCGTTTGTCTGTTTTAAGTGACCAAAGCTCTTTGAAGGCTGCTTCTGTTGCATACATGTGGCCGCCACAGGCCACGCATACAGCTCCAAATATTCCGGAGAACAAATACAATGTTGACCTTGTTGTGCTGGAGCTGCAGAGTGATCTCTATCGCTCTTGTTTCTCAGCCCTGCCCCAAGCAGGTTTGATACCCTTGTTGATGGAACCAGGAGCCGGGACCTAAGAATCTGGCAAGGATGGTCTTTCACTGGCACAAATCTAGTGGGCGCTGTTGCCAGGATTGTGACCTACCCCAAACCCTGGCACCCTCCAGCCTATTCTTGTATCGGGTTGTCAACCCCTCAAGGAAGCAGCAAAAACAGCTTAGCCCTCTTTTGAATCCGAGTAAGGATAGGTTTCTCTGCATCGATCATGTTCATGCTTCTTACCCTACATTAAGACCTTTCACCTCCCTGGATTCCTACATCGCACGCTGTCTGTGCTAAGCTTTGCATGTTTTCGAAGGCGAGCGCGCCCACTTAGGGGCGACTGCTACTGAAGACTGCAGCATTCATTTTCACTATTTGCAATTGGTTGCACCATCACTCCTTGGTAACCGCCTGCCGCACAGTGACTGCAACCAAAAGTAACCGCCTGCCGCACAGTGACTGCAACCAAAAGAAATCGCGTTCAATGTGTGTTTGACCGACACATACAAGTTGGTGACTATGACTCACTCACACATCAGCCACACTGGTCACTGAAGTTTGGTCTATCCTCAATCGGGACTATGTTGGAGTGACCAACAGACCTGGACCATCCAAGGGGCTTTAGAAAATGGGACATGACCCGAACAAAAAAAACAGGTACCTGTATAACTATACTATCAAAGGTGCTGTGTCCGGTTTCCTGCAATTCTGACTGTCTGGGTATCTCATAGGCTGCTTGCAGCGAAGGTATTCGATCGGATGTCCTGATCAAGGCTGCAACATCAGAGGCTTGAACTCCGCAACTAGGGGGTCACATATATAATAGAACCAATGCCTTTCTTCTCAGGGTATTTGTGCAACCCAGATCGAGGCTGGCTTGACTCCTTCTGAGTTGTCATTGGGCACTCTGTTTCTTTCAGAACAAACACATTTCAGGAACAAAAAACTAGCCCCTCTCTAAGAAAATGCGGGACGCACCAGGAGGGAAGATGCGGGTCACCTCAAAAGGCCCAACAACTACCAAAGCCAAAGACCAGAGTCACTCAGTGTGGGTACTGCGTGGTAAACTGATAAACCAAGCTGGACCAAGCTCAATCATGTTCGGGCATCGGCGCTCCTGGACCACGCTCCCTTCCTCCGCGCGAGACACGGCGCGCTCCAGTCCCACCTTGAAAGGCACCCAGGTCCTGGTGTGCAAAGCATCCCAGTTGAGTGAGTCATATGACTTGTTTTCTAAATTACTTGCTTAAGCTGTAGTCATTCAAAGTCAGGACTCATATCCCTGACTGATATGACTCGTATGAGGCCTCATAAATCCCGGATAACACCTGTACGTCCAGTAGAACACCCGTACGTCCAGTCTCCTGGTCTGACTGACCTCCTTCAATATCTCTGTGTCTTGCTACTGACCAACTCCAGTAAAATGAGGCGCATGTGAGTGAAAAACGACCCCCGGAGAAAAAAACACACACACAACACACCCCAGGTGTAGAAGACTGAAGACTGAAAAGTTGCGATCAGTAAAACAATAACGTTGAGTACGTGGTCAAATTCTGGGCAACACAGCTCATCAACAGTGGTGCAAAAGGTTTCATGAACTATTAATTATTTGTATATATATATACATATATCTAATCATACATAGCAACCGCCTGGAGAACATGGCTAGAAGTGTAATACATGTTCAATAGAGTCATGTCCCACTTTCTGAAGTACTTTGAAGGGGTAGGTGGATCCCAAATTGCCGGACTTCTCAGATCCACACTTCTCGGAATGAAAAACCGCGACCAAGACCAAGGAGGTCGTTTTGGAAATAATAAAGGGATCAGTTTGGTATCTACCTCTTATATTGGATATTGTTGGTTGTACACTTCGGGATATGCCCTTAAACCCTCAAACAAATCAACCAACCAAAAGTGAACATCTGCCAGTCTATATAATCTATGAGCCAAGACTCCGTTTTCGTGGTCCTCAAACACAACAAACAGCAGCTTTTGCTCAGTCTAGTCACTTCGTGTCTCGCGCGGAGACCCCGGTGCCCCGGTCCGCCGGAGGAGCTGAAGGGGCCAGGTCCAAGTGGTCGGTCTCCAGGGTCGAGGAACGTAACATCAAGGCATGAGTCTTGACCTCGGTGGGTCTTGAAGGCTGGTGGGTTCGAACTCAGACCGGGCCGACCTCCGAGACCTCTGGGATTCTTGTTTTCCCACTGGTTAAGAACAGGTTAGACTAGCAGGGTATCTCTATGGGCCTCAGACGACCGGGAGACCACTGGGAGACCACCGGGAGACCTTGACAGACTTGACAGTTGATGCCCGCCGAAAAGGGCTCCAGGTTAGACTACCAGGCAGGTCAACCTGCCGGGGTGAATGGTGACTCATCTCGGAGGACATGCAACTGGCGATACCCTCCCAACCAATGGTTTTTTGGCCTTTGCAGGTTCAGTCTACGACATGCCCTCAGCGAAAGCCAACCAATGGGTGAACTGGCAAATGTTTACGTGTGTTTACTAGGGGGTAGGGCTGTTGGGGCGGGCTCGCTCACACGCATGTCGGAACAGAGCTTCCCACGCATGAAGCTTGACCAAGGTTTCAGGTTGCGAGGCCCATATGGAGACACCATGGCTGTAAGATCGGTGAACCTGAACAGTCCGCGACACCAAAACCCTAGAGATCCAAAACACTCGCTGAGAAGATGATTCATAGTGCAATCACACTCTGATGAGATCCTAGAGCTGTGACACACCCGGTACCATGCTCAGAGGATTTTGGTTTTTAACGCAGGCTACCTTTTGACTCCACCCTGTGCCCAGTAGCTTCAGCATGCTCAAAAGGATAGTATTTAGCCCAGCCTAGCCCAGCTCAAACTTTCCAAGCGCGGTTTTAATTCAGCTCTCCATCAGATCAGTGTGAATGTACACAGACCATGAATTGGGCGCAGAATCGCCACTGTACACAAGGAAAGTCAAGTCTGGAGCCCTTAGTCATCATCCATAGCTCCACCAGAGCCATCCAAAGTTGTCAGCTGCTGATGGCTCTTTTGCCTACAGATGACCACAAGTCTATTTGTTGATGTTCCTTTGGGGCAGAATCCCACATCCCAGAATAAACAACAACAAATCTTATTGAACCCAAGGTCAAGATACCCAATGTAAAAGCGCTTCATGGCAATGTACTCAACATTGGTGTTACTGCCAGCACTGCACACCGTTGAGATTTTGCCAATGAAGTCTTCTGGCTTGTACCCCTGGTACATGCGACAGTTCATACCTGGATATATCAACTCATTCCCACACAGCAGCCCTTAATCTCTACAAGTTTGGAGAGTGGGAGGGTGAAAAAGAAACACACAATGCCATGCTTTTTGCACCTAGGTGCAGTCCTCAATTTGGCAAAGAGCAATTTCTTGCCACGCCTCAAGCACATGGTATGTTGATTGCAACATCAAATCACTGTGTTGCATATTGGAGCCACCTCTCAACCATGGCAACTCTTGGACAATCTTGAACATAACAAAAAATCACAAAATACTGAACACACAAAGGCGCATGCAGTTTGGGCCGCACTGGAAATAATAGTTCCCCAGCGGCTACAGCCATATGAGCCAGAGTGAGGTAGCACTGCAAACATTGATCACATTCCCTCTGCAAATCGCTTGCCTGACTTGGTGTCAGGTATCTTCCAAAGGATTCAACCTTGCGGTGCCACTCAGCAAGGTGGAACCTAAGATAAGATCGATCAGTAGAAATGTTCAATCAATGGCAACACCAACCAATAGGGCATTTCAAGACATAGTGAACAAACAAAAACACCAATGAAGGATATTGTTGTTGGATAATTTGGATTTGTTCAGAGTACAATTAAGAGGGCAACCCTTTTCTAGCAATAATGTTTGTATCAACAAAAAGTTATTTTTCAAACAATCTGATCCTAATAATGAAGTGAAGCAACACGCACGAAGCCATGAGAGGCATCCACTGGTCACCTCGATACTCTTCACTGTTGGCCCAACCCACTACCTCATCACATAGCCACGCCACGACACAGCGAGCCTTAGCTGAGCCATGATACATTGACAGCTTTGACGAAGGCAGGGTAGGTAAGTTCTGGTGGGACCTTGTCAGTATCCTCTACTTGCAACACAGCTGAAGCCAAGTGACATTAAAGGCCTTGGATTGAAGTTCAGGAAAAGGGTGGGTCTTTGATCGAAGCCGCCATGGACGGAATTTGGGCATTGAATGCCTGAGATGAGATAACAAAGATTAACCAAAAACAACTAACATAATTTATGGTGTTGTGAGAATCTGGTCTGTAAAAATATGCAAAGACTTTTTTCTTCAAGGCTAAGTACGCAATGCGGTTCCTCCTGCTCCAACTTCGGAAATCATCATAAGCCAGAAGAAGTCGATCAGAGTCCTCCAGGTCTGAACCTCCCCACAGCTGATCATAGGATGACAAAATCTTCCGCATGATGGACCCACAGATCCACAAGTCAACACCAAGGTTGATGATATGCATAGCATCCCACCGAATCATTGCCATTTCAAAGGCTGGTAGGTCCAATAAAGGACCTTAAGCAGTTTCCAACAGAACGTGTCAATCAAACAATGCACACTCATGTTTTTCTTGTGCCCATAAAACTTGATGGGTTCATTAAACAGCTTTGCACCTGACAGATTGAGAATGCAGGTCAAACAAATCATGTTTCACACGTGGGTGTTTTCGGTAGTGAGGTGGGGGAGGCTACCTGGTTGGTTTGACCCACATTCACAAGTTGATGGACTCGTTACTGTGCAAGTCAGCTCCTTTGCAGCATTCAGCAAGGAAGCTTGGAGTACTGTGACGAAATTGCTCACCCAACTTCGAAGGTGCACTTACATAGGACGGCTTCATTGATCTGCACTGATGGCAGACAGAATTGCACAAGTAGTGTGATGTCAACTGCAGCCATTCCTAGATTTGGTGGCACTGGATCAACCTCAAAAAAACATGTAACAAAAAATACTACTTTCTCCCCAAATAACAAACCCATCACATTTCCCCAAGGATCCCAGCAGCTTTTGAGGGATGACTTTGTTGCGTGCGATTTAAGAGTTCAAACTACCCTGACGAGATGTAATGCAGATCTCTATTTATATATAGGCAGTTTGCAAGGTAGTTGAACACGTCGATTATATCACATCTACCTTGAACTAGTTCCCAACCTTTTGATTCAAGGAAAGAGTCTTGCTGCCATTTCCAATCTCCACGGATTTCTGTTATTGCATAGGCCCTCCTGCCTTCAGGTGTATCAACTCCACTATAGAGCTCCTCCAAGGACTGAACTACCTGATGCAGTCACAGGGTTGTGGGGCACCAACCATTGGCTACTTTTGGCCAAACCCTGGAAGTGTGAAGACATCATAACATTTGTTGTCAAGTTACAGCCTTCAGGATCTCACGGACAGTTGGGAAGCCAGCTTTGAGTTCCTCAAAGGTGTAGTCTTGAGATGAAGGAAACCCATTATATATATACAACAGTTTCGGGGCTCAGCTCAAAAATATCACCAAACAAAAGGTTACCAAAGGTCAGGGCAGATTCTGACCTGCAAATACTCAGAGGGTAGCATGCCTCAACGCTGTACTTTCGTTGATCCAGAACACTTCCAATGGCGATCAACAGCACCTCATCCCCATTCTCCCGAAATTGCGCTTCATCCCCCCATATCCACAGAGGGATGTGATTCTTCAGAGGGCTGATCTTCGCCAGTGGGTTGCCCATTGCTGAAAGATGACTCCAGTACTGGACAACCTCCTGTCCATCGACTGAAGGTAGAAGTGGTACCACAGTGCGAGGTAGGACAATTGGCATTTTCCTGCAAAATTCACCATCGATTAAGGACAAAGTCGTATACACTAGTGGGGCACTTGCTACAAGCCCCTTCAAAAGTTGTGCACAAAAATCAGTCTGAACCCCTGTCCTGATTTCCACACCATTGGGTCCCCTTTGCTTCTGCACAGGAACATCAATCCAGCTGATCTTTACCTGCAACTAGACAGCAACTAGACCCAACAAATTCAAACGAATTCAAAGGTTACCCACCTGCTTCACCTCCAGAATAAAGGTAACCTTTGATCTATTTCTTTGAGGTGGCTTGGGCAATTGGAAACACATAAGGAACCAGGGTGGCCTGTTCTGGGTCATTCTTGATCACCTTCCTCATGATATCTCGCTGTATGTTTGACGCATATTTGCCACCACACCCAGCCGACAAGAGGGAAGCACAGGGCCCACGTAGTGCCACTCCATGATGCTTGAACTCCTGCCAGACACAGTAAGCGATTTTGTCCTGGGGTTGGGGCCAGGCTTACACAAGGATCACAAGCTTGTGGTGTGGGGGTGAGAAGGCAATCTCACATTGTGATATATACCAATGAAGTGATCCCATACCCACCCAGTCCTCATCGACGTAATGTAGCAAGCTCTGTGTTTTTGTGAAGGAACTCTCCTTAGGAGTCCGTGGCTTGGAAAACCTAAACCTCTCCTCAAAAGGGGATTTGAAAGTGTTTGGATTAAGCTCTTCCAGGTGTTAGTTCAGATGTCTCCAGGGTTCAATTTTGACTTCAAGGCCACAAGCATTTTTATTATGGCCAAGGTTCACCAAGACCAGCTTCTTTGAGTAAGAACGCATACAGTGGTGAAGATTTGGCCCCTCTCAGATCAGCACCTGCGTGGGGATAGATGCACATGAAGCAAACCTCAATTTTCAAATGGTTGCTGTACTCCATAAACTTTGTTGGGACATTCAAACAGCCAGCTACCCAAAATGATTTCCAACCACTTGCAAATTTCTAGATCTTGACATAGACATGAAATTCAGCAAGCACATTCTATTCCCCTCACAGTGCTTCACAGTGGCTGACGTCCCACTTTGGCACAGCAGAAAAATCAGAAATAAGATTTGGGGCAGATACACAGTACAGGTAAATTATCCACTACATAAATTCAATCAAATTGACTTCAACTTGGTCTCTTCGTGGTTGAGGCCATTCCTCAATGTGACCTGCCCCAGGTTAAGGTTCTCCCTAACCTACCCTACTCACACCACTGCACTCAACCAGCATGTTGAGGATGCTATGGCCCTTGGCCCT